TTGCGCAATCGGAGGTCTTGCACCTTACTCTGAGCCATCACTTCGGATTTCGTGCATAAGCGAACACTAACATGCACATACAAATACAGAGACAGACACACTCACATGCATAGTAGTTGACATATGACCTTAAATAACCAAATCACTTTATACTTGATCAAAGAAGCCAGATGTAGAGTAGATATACCACTTTTTAAGGATTTGTCGGTAAGTTTTCTTGACTCGTAAGCTTGAATTTGGTTGTGACGATGTTACCTCGCTCTGATGATGCACGAAAGCTTAGCACCTTGTCACCGGAATCGAAGCAGATTGCCTCGGAAACAGCGTCAGCATGCATGTTCCAGTAGAGCCAATCGACGGTTGGTCAAGAGGAATCGGCCGTCGTCTTCTGGTGGAACCGACATTCGAATCTCTTCACTTAACACTTCCACTCGAAATGGAAGTAAGCTCAACAATTATGAAACAAGCGATTCCTCGAAACCCAGCTTTTTTTTGAATACATGAGAAATCTTGTTGTGGGGTCACCCTGACAACACGACCAAGTTGCAGAAATGATGCCAAACCATTTCTACAGAGCGAAAGGCGACTGTTACCAAATCAAAAGTGACCCAAATTTGGTCTTCATATGAATAGTTTCGAAAGCCTGATCTCTTATTCACCAAGTTCTCCCAACTTCGAGACATACCCACGCCGGCGGATGTCAGTTGCCCCCCCCTCCCCAATCGATGTGATGGTGTCCCACCCAGCGCTTCTTTACTTGGGTTGGCCGATGGTCCACACCCGCAATTGCAACCCTCAGTACAAACTTACACACACTCACAATATTAACCAGCTTAACACTTTTAAGTACAGCCAACTGCACATGTATAGCCACACTCACAATCATACCCGCCATCACGACCATAAGCATCATAACCACCCTCGCACTAATCATGTCAATCCTCATCATAGACGACATCACAACCACCATCACACGCCTATTCACAACTGTCATTTTAACTATCAACACATTCACAACATTCATCATCATTCGGACCATCATCACAGCCCCCATTCAACCCACTATTTCACCCTTCCCGACCACAACCAACCTCTTAATAACCCTCCCCCTGAAGATGGCAACGCTCAATAAAACACGATCACAGTCACGATCAACCCCAGCATCATCCCCCCCCACAGCAACTACCACAGCCACGAGTGTGTCGATAGACACAAGATAGAATAGACAAAGTTATCAAGTCCGCATAACTTGTCACTCCACTTTCGATCTTTCCGAGTGCTTAAAGGCTGTTAACATGTGACTTTTCTTCTTTACAATCGGATCGGATTGTTTGTTGAACGTACTCCCATTTCAAGTGAAGGTGTTTGGTGGGACTAATTGTAGGTCGATCACACCAAAAGACGACGGAGGATCCCTCTTGACGAGCGGTCAATTGGGCCTAATGAACCACTCTTGTTGAAGCTGTTCGAGATCCATTCTCCGCCGTCTCCGGTGCAAAGATGCTAAGCTCTAAGTCCATCGTATTGCAGACATCATCTGAACAGGTGATCATCCCTACAACCATATTCACGCTAACGCTTCAAGAAAAACTCATCGGCGTATGCCTAAATGTTGTAAATTGTGTTAAATCTAAGCTATTCGATGAGGCATAAAGTGATTTGTATAAAAGTTGTTTGACCTTGTTTTCTCAACTTGGTCATGTTGGTAGGAAGACTTAGACCACACCATCTTGGTCTTCATACCTCCGATTAAACTATG